ACCGATTTCATCCATTAAAGGCTCATTTTCTCCGGTTTTGAATGGACTTTAAGAATAAATTATGGAATGATTTTTTGAATCTTTTTATCCCATTAAAAATGTTGATTAAAACAAGATTTTTATGGAAAATTCGCAGGAAAAATAAAAAAAATGCTGTAAATTTTTAAATGACTTCAAAATTAAATTTTTAATTAAGACATAATATTCTAGTGAACGATAGCAAATTTATTTAGCTTCATTTTCATAAAAAAGATTTATAATTGGTGCACTAGTTCCAAAGATATTGACATTTTAGTAATCGTACTTTTGTCCAAAATTCAAAAAATCAAAATTTTTGTATATCTCAAAAATGGCTCTACTTAATTTTTTTCTGACCACGGCATTGAATTCAGCGTAGGATTTTGCATTGGAAATGATCATCACCTTATCGAGTTCAAAAATGCTGTAAACTAGTGTTATCGACGTCACTTTCTGCAGTCCGTCGTTAGCGGCAAGTATGAACTGGAGAGTGTGTGAGGAGTACACTTATAGTGACCATCAGGCGATTAGGTACAGCTTTGGCCAACGGATACCTACGGCAATGTGGAAAACGAAAGTAAGCAAGCGGAGGTGGAAGACGAAGGCATTCGACAAGGATCTCTTTGTAGAAGCTCTCCGGGTAGACAGCAGCGTCCCAGACCAAAGCGCGGACGAATTGACCGAATCGTTAACGAGGGCATGCGACACAACCATGCCGAGAAAATCGGAGCCAAGGAACAGCCGGCGCCCTTAGCACCCTCCGCGCTAGTTGCCTCCGAACCAGAAGGGCAAGAAACGTTCAGCGGGCAAGAAACGGTGCAGACAGAGCAGAGCTAAGGGTGGTGTTTCGAGCAGCCAAGGCCGCTCTAAAATAGGAGATAAAGCTGAGCAAGTCAAACTGCTTCAAGGAGCTGTGCCGAGACGCTGATGCCAACCCCTGGGGTGACGCATACCGAGTCGCGATGGTGAAGATTAGAGGTCCAACGACGCCCGTTGAAATGTGCCCAGACAAGCTGAAAGTCATCGTGGAGGGACTTTTCCCGAAGCACGACCAAATGACCTGGCCACGTACACCGTACGACGAGGCAGAGGCAGACAACACCGAAGATAGACAAGTCTCCAACGAGGAACTCGTAGCAGTGGCGAAAGGGCTGAAGACGAAGAAAGCTCCCGGTCCGGATGGAATCCCCAACGTGGCGTTGAAGGCGGCGATGCAGGCGTTCCCGGACATGTTCAGGATAGTGCTGCAGAAGTGTCTGGATGAAGGTCACTTCCCGGACCGATGGAAGATACAGAAGCTAGTGCTGCTGCCGAAACCCGGAAAACCGCCAGGGGATCCAGCATTGTATAGGCCTATATGCTTGCTGGATACAGTCGGAAAGCTATTGGAGAAGATCATCCTCAACAGGCTAACGAAATGCACGAAGAGTGAGCATGGATTGTCGGTGAGGCAGTTCGGATTCCGGAAAGGGAGATCAACGGTGGATGCAATTCGGACAGTGGTCGAGAGTGCCGAGAAAGCGTCTAAACAGAAGCGGAGAGGAGATCGATATTGCGCCGTGATAACGATCGACGTGAAGAACGCATTCAACAGCCCCAGCTGGGAGGCCATCGCCGAAGCACTGCATGGAATGAGGGTTCCTGATTCCCTGTGTAGCATTATAAGGAGTTACTTCCAGAACCGGGTTCTAGTCTACGAGACGGACATGAGAGAGAAATCAATCCGGATCACGGCGGGTGTGCCACAAGGCTCCATCCTTGGCCCAACGCTCTGGAACGCAATGTACAACGGCGTGCTAACGCTGAAGCTGCCCAAAGGAGTCGAGATCGTAGGATTTGCGGACGACGTCGTGTTGGCGGTAGTAGGTGAGACGTTGGAAGAGGTGGAAATGCTGGCAACCGAAGCGATAGACACGGTTTCCAACCGGATGCAAGGAGCGAAGCTGCAGATAGCCCACCACAAAACGGAAGGGCTATTGGTCAGTAACTGTAAAGCTGTTCAGCGAGCAGAAATTACCGTCGGGGAGAACGCCATAGCATCAAAGCGCGTGCTGAAGTATCTTGGAGTGATACTCGATGACCGACTAAGCTTCAATAGCCACGTCGACTACGCATGTGAGAAGGCGGCGAAGGCCATCAATGCGATAGCTAGAATCATACCGAACAACTCTGGACCAAGCAGCAGCAAGAGGCGTCTTCTGGCTAGTGTATCGTCATCGATACTGAGGTATGGAGGTCCAGCCTGGGATGCAGCGCTGAAAACGAAGAAGAACCAAAGAAAATTGAACAGTACGTTCCGCCTCATGGCCATGCCAGTTGTGAGTGCGTACAGAACAATTTCGACGGAAGCAGTATGCGTTATCGCCGGTATGATACCCATCGTCATCACCTTGGCGGAGGACACCGAATGCTATATGCGAAGAGATACCAGAGGAGTACGGACATTGGTGAGAACGGAGTCGATGGCTAAGTGGCAACAGGAGTGGGACGCAGCGGAGAACAGCTCCTGTCTGGTCCTGGCTGCTTCAGGAAGTAACTGCATCGCTTTGGACACACAACGTCACCCCTCTGTCCGGAGTGTGGTAACGTGGACGAAACGCCGGAGCACGTGGTTTTCGACTGCCCAAGATTTGAGGCAGTGCGAGTGGAGATGCCGGTCCTTAGCGCGAGAAATGTCGTCAGTGAAATGTGCCGGGATGAGAGGACGTGTAGCGTCGTCAGTAGGGCAGTGCCGCAAATTTTGTCGGAACTGCAGCGAAAATGGAGAGATGATCAGCGAGTTAGAAGCGCCGGCTAGCTGAGCTAAAGAGATGTGCTTGAGCACAGGCCCCCCACCCCGACAAAATACTCTAGGGGAGTTCCTGGGGGATAGTGGCTAGAGGCGAGTAAGGTTTTAGTGGTTAAGAGTCCCACACTGTGCCAGAAGGAGAACAAACACGCAACACAGTGACAGGCCGGGCTTTTGAAGCTTTTCTCACTACAAAAAAAAAACATACATAACGTACATAATTTTCAACTAGCCCCTCAACCCCCTCCCCCCTGCTTTGATCTTGCCACAACTGCACATTTAATTCTCGAAAAATGTCATTATTGAGCTCGACAATCAATAAAATACGAATACGACTGTACAAAACAGTCCACCTCAACCGAAACTAATTGAATCATATAGGCTGACAAAATCGGAGGTGGACAAAATCGGGGGTAGACAAAATCGGGTCACCACTGTAGTACATTCAAACTATAGCAAATATCACGTAATTTATGCACTTTTGATACCATATTATATTACGTTATTACGGTACTAATATCAACTATAGTCTGAACGTAGTACAATGTCATGACGTCAGGGTAGGCGTGTAACATGCATGAGAAAGCTTATACTGTTTGCCACACCTTTTATTTGACTAAACGTATGAATTGATTACACGTTTAAATAATAAGGCCACGAATGTTTGTAGTCACCTTCCTCACCGGGAGTAAAGCCCTACAGCAAAAGCAACCAGTGGAAACTAACGATTTTAAATTTGCGCTCTACTTGACTAGCCTATTGGTTCCAAGCAAATCGATTAACGTATCCCATTCTAGTCGAAATTCTAGTACTACACTATGTTTGTTTTGATTCGCTTTGAAAGTTTGACAGATAAAATGAGGGGTTCGTGGATTTTCCAATGTTTCGAGGGATGCATCGATTAGCTTGGGATCGAAGATAGTACCAGAACTGAGCCGAAACGTTGAGCACGTTTCTTCGGGACTTTCTGGTCTTAGAGTTACCTCTATGGTAAAAGTATGGACGTCTGTCAAAAGTTGTTCCAATCGAACCGTCAAAATGCACCGCTTTGCTCGATTGGAACAGCTAGAGGGCTTTAATCGGGAGAGGGTATACTTATGCGTCTTTTCATAAACACATGGGAATTCTGGAAGTAAACCATATTGTTAATTTATAATATTTGCTGATAGCTTTTATGGGCAGTAGAACAAACTCCCCAATCCACCCATTATCGATGTCCAAAGGTGCGGACCCTCATATTATGAACTCAAGTTGCACTCGCCTCATATGCCAGAAAACGACCCGGAATTCGTCCTAAATACACAAAATGTATACACTTCGCACAAGGCAAATCATACAAGGCCCCAAATCATTCTTCACGATAACCACCGACAAACTGACATTCATCCGATTCCGCCCGCACAACAGTTATAGGATGTCTATTTAACTATACAAAAAAATAGTTCTGATTTATTTTTTAGTAAAAATTAATAAAAAAAAATGTTAAAAACCTAATCAAAATGTTCTTGCCTAATTTTAATTTTTTTTTCAAAGAAATGCTAATGAAAAATGGAAACTTTTGGAATGTTTAAAACTATGGACCCTTGAAAACCTACAAAAATCGTTGAACAAGAACTTTGGGTCAATTATTAAAACTTTTGTTAGTACGCTTTTTTGAGTACTTGTCTTCACAGAAGATGATTTAAAATGCCCAAAAAAAAAATCTCAGTATAAATTTCATAAAAAAAAAACAATATTCGGATGTCAATTTTTAAGCGTCCATGATTTTAAACTGTTCGAAAGTTTACATTTTTCATGAGCATTTTAATAAGATTTATTTTCAAAAACCAACAAGGACATATTTAGGTTTTAATTTTTAATTTTTTTTACTTTAATTCATTTTGATTACAAGTGCCATTTCCGTGCTACCTTTTTTTTTTTTAAATTTCGATGATGCCATTTTGAAAATTTTACAAGATCCAAAATGGCCAAATTTTAGCAAAAATGTGGATCATTGCCCATAACAAACAATTTCGAAAAAATTTCATGCAAATCGGAGAAGGTCGAGTACTTTCCAAATTGTCACTCTTGGTGGCTTGGTCAAAATGAAAAATGGTTTTAATGAAGGACACTTAATCGGTATTAAATATGACCTAGACGTCGTAACATTCCCATCACATGGACTGACTCAAATTTGTTTTCTCTTTTTTTTTAGTCATATTCCAACATCGATTGCTCGAACAGAGCACAGAATCCAGCGAGCTGAAACAACCACCAACAATAAAGATGACTGCAACGGACAACACGATCCGCTTCAGTGACCACACGCTGGACAAGGCGACCAAGGCCAAAGTGACACTGGAGAACTACTATAGCAACTTGATCACCCAACATGGGGAGCGGAAGCAACGGCAAGCCAAGCTGGAAGCTTCCCTCAAGGACGAGGCCCTATCGGAGTCACAGCGGCAGGAGAAGCGCATGCAGCATGCCCAAAAGGAGACGGAATTTCTGCGGCTCAAGCGGTCCCGGTTAGGAGTGGAAGATTTTGAAGCACTCAAAGTGATAGGACGGGGAGCGTTCGGTGAGGTACGGTTAGTGCAGAAGAAGGATACGGGTCATGTGTATGCGATGAAGGTGCTGCGGAAAGCGGATATGCTGGAGAAGGAACAGGTGGCGCATGTGCGAGCCGAGCGGGATGTCCTAGTCGAAGCCGATCATCAATGGGTGGTGAAGATGTACTATAGTTTTCAGGTACGTGATTCCAGAGGGTTTTGAAGGGAAAGTAAAGCTCATGCCGGGAATTGTTACTTGCAGGATTCGGTCAATCTGTACTTGATTATGGAGTTCCTCCCGGGTGGAGACATGATGACATTGCTGATGAAGAAGGATACGCTTTCGGAGGAGTGCACGCAGTTCTATATCGCTGAAACGGCGCTGGCAATCGACTCCATCCATCGGCTTGGATTCATACATCGTGATATCAAACCGGACAACTTGCTGTTGGATGCTCGTGGACATTTGAAGCTATCCGATTTCGGTCTTTGCACTGGATTGAAGAAATCTCATCGTACCGATTTCTATCGGGACTTGTCGCAGGCTAAACCGTCCGATTTCATTGGAACCTGTGCTAGCCCGATGGATTCGAAACGACGGGCGGAGAGTTGGAAACGCAATCGGCGAGCCCTGGCCTACAGTACCGTGGGAACACCGGACTACATTGCACCGGAGGTGTTTTTACAAACCGGCTACGGACCGGCTTGCGATTGGTGGTCGTTGGGGGTTATCATGTATGAAATGTTGATGGGTTATCCGCCGTTCTGTTCGGACAATCCACAGGATACATATCGGAAGGTGATGAACTGGCGGGAGACGTTGATCTTCCCACCGGAGACGCCGATCTCAGAGGAAGCCCGGGACATGATAGTCAAGTTTTGCTGCGAAGCGGAAAGGAGGTGAGTTCAATGGATCGGATTGATTTTGCGCGGGATGTTTTGCTAATACGGAACACTCATCATTACAGATTGGGGTCACAGCGCGGCATCGAGGATTTGAAGTTGGTGTCGTTCTTCCGGGGAGTCGATTGGGAACATATTCGTGAACGGCCTGCAGCCATCCCGGTTGAGGTTCGTTCAATCGACGATACGTCTAATTTTGACGACTTCCCCGACGTGGCACTGGAAATACGTGAGTACAATTTGTTCTTCGTCATTGCTTTGAATTGTGTTTATTGAAATTTACATTTAATGATCAGCCGCCCATCCCACACCGGAGGGCGAAGTCCTCAAGGATTGGGTATTCATCAACTACACCTTCCGACGGTTCGAAAGTCTTACGCAGCGTGGAACCCCGACGAAAAAGTAAAGTCCAGAATCTGTGTGTCCTCTCAGCTTCCGCCGGCAACTATAATTATGTGTTTGCTGTTCTTATCTCTCCGCACTCCCTTACTATTAGTACTACGTACCGCCGTTCTAGCTGACAAAAACAAGGTCGGTATAGAGGCAAGATGGAAGATTATTTAACACAAGAGTTCGCCACTCTGTCTCTAGATAGCATCCTTCTGAATCCCTCCCTCGAATGTGAGTGTAGGGCGTCGAAGGTAACAAAATGACTCAATGAAAAAAAAAAAGGAAAATCGTAATTTAATATCCTCTATAACAAGTACACAAGAATATAGTGATTAAACGTAAAGCAACACTAAACAAACTCGTGAAAAAAAAATCAAAGAATATCGATAACGGAACGTAAAATTAGAATTTAAATTCAGTTTGTTCACTCACAAGTTTCTTCCCTTGTCTTGCGTTTATTAGCGAACGTGAAAAGGAGAGTTTCCATAATTTCCAGCTTTCACAGCCAAGTAGACTTACCGCAACATTAAAGTAGAATTATCTAGCAACAGAAGTAAACGAACGGATCAGATCAGCGAAAACGCTTGCTTTATATAGGGAAATATGCTGATGATGATAGCCCATCCCACCCCCGCAGAACAAAACAAACTATACAAACCAAGAAGATAGGCTAGTGTCAATCAATGTGCAACTTCAACAATATGGAAACGTCCTAAACAAGCTATGTAGCCGTAATTTGCAATAATGTAGCAACATGACGAAGAAAGATGGGTTGAAAAGTGCAACAGAGCGAGCATTTTTTCTGCGTAGAGAAAACAAGAGACAAGCAACAGCAGCAGCAAAGGATTTAAAGATAAATAGTATTAGTAGAATTTATTATTATGATTATTTTTTTAAACGATTATGCTTTTACATTTAAGTTTGAATGTTTTATAGGTAGTAGATCAGAAGAGAGTTATGCACTTATTTCGACTTAGGCAAGGGAATTATACTGCAAGTGATCGTTTTTAAGTTGTGTAAATATTCAACAAACAAAACAAGGTTTGAAAATTGGGAAAACGGTTGACGTGTTCTTATGATTTTTTTTTAAATATTTCTTTTCTTCTGAAGGGTTTTGCTTGAAGCAATAGCCAGGATGACGCAAAAAAAAAAAACAAACATGTTCTCGTTTTGGTTCTTCTATTGGAAATTTTATTTATATTATTGTTTTTGGGGATCTAAATAGTTGCAACTCTAAGCAACACTATTTCTACGCTGATTTTGTAAAACAGAACTGTAAGCTTCTTTTCAAACATTAGGGTAAGAAATACGTTTTCCGCGTAAACCTATCGCTGAGAAAAAGAAAAATAGCTGTAGTTAATTTCAGAACAAACCCAGCCCCTCCCCTTCCTTTGATGGCTCCTGCTAATAATGCAATAGTGGATGATCGTAAACTTAAAGTTCTGGAGTTTTGTTATTCCTGTTTTCGCTTATCTCTTTTCTTTGTGAGTTGAAGCAAAAAAAAAAAAACAACAAATGCATTCATAGTGAGACATACCCAACCCCCACAGCAACATTGAAGAAGAATAAAGTGATACTGAAATTCAATGGAAATGAAATATGCGACGTGGGTCGTCTTTTGTCTGTAGAACGTGAGAATATCATATCCCCGAACTAGGTTCCAATGCAGATCTCAGCTAGGTTGCGTTGACCAACATGTAAGATTTCTGTAAGACTGCTCTCTAGTGCGAATATTCTTGGAATTCGGTGTCGTAGTATGGTGTCTGTTCAGAGCAAATTCGTTCGTTATGCTCATCGCTACCTTTCCTGGAACAATGAACCTTCCACCCTCAACTACTCAAGTCATCCTTCAATCCTGGACCTGATGGTGTTCCATTTTTGAAGAGACATATTTCTAGCTTGTTAATTCCGCTTCTTCGCCTGTTCCGAATGTCTCTCTCCAGTGGCATATTTCCATCTTGCTGGAAATTTGCGCACATGTTTCCCGTCCACAAAAAAGGAAGGAAACGAGCTGTGGATAACTATCGAGGAATTACATCGTTAAGTGCCGTTTCGAAGTTATTCGAGCTAGTGTTTATGGAACCGTTGCTGTCCCATTGCAAGCAGTATTTGAGTGCTGATCAACTTGGGTTTACTGTCGGCCGCTCTACAACCACTGAGTTGGTTTCGATCATATCTTACCGGTCGGCAGCTAAAGGTTGCCATAGCAGATTGCAGATCAGCTAGCTTCTTCGTCACATCAGCATCAGGTATACCTCAGGGAAGCCACATGGGACCGTTAATTTCTATACTGTACTTCAACGACGTGCATCTGGTCATCGAAGCTCCTCGGTTATCATATGCAGATGACCTCAAAATCTTCCTACGAATCTGCTTAATTACTGACTGTCACTTTCTTCAACGTCAGTATTAGCTAGTTGATGTAGTTTAAACAGAACGGTAGTGAACCCAGCCAAATGCTCCGCTATTACGTTCTCACGAAAACAACAACCGATAATATTTAGCTATGTCCTGCTTGGCTCGACAATCGAACGCGTGAATCAGGTGAAAGACTTGGGTGTGATCTTGGTTTCGCAGCTTTCATTCAAGCAACACATTGCAAGAACTTTAGGGTCCATTTTTAGGATAGCTAAGAACTTCACTGATATCTACTGTCTAAAATCTCTCTATTGTTCGCTTGTTCGATCGACGCTTGAGTATTGTTCAGCGGTTTGGAACCCAAACTACAACAACGGTGCCGAGAGAATTGAATCTGTTCAACGTCGCTTTCTTCGTTTTGCGTTGCGTAGATTGCCTTGGAATGATCCGTTTCGATTACCCAGTTACGAAAGCTGTTGTCAACTTATCGACCTAGAACTTCTCCGGACTAGAAGAGACACAAGCATAGCACTAACCGTGGCCGATATGCTGCAAGGAAGGCCAGATTTTGAGGCTATCCTTAGGCAAATTGACCTGAATGTTCAACCCCGACCGCTTCTTAATAACCTTATGTTAAGACTGCTTTTACGTCGCTCAAATTATGGAGCATACGGTGCGATTTGCGGACTACAGAGAACATTCAACAGAGTTGCATCTGATTTTGACTTTCATCTCTCCCGTGATGCGCTTCGTCGACAGTTTTCTTCTATTTTTCGCCGGCAGGAGTAACTGACTTGTATTAAAATTTCGGTGAATTACATAGTATGGGAAAGTATTGACTTTCATTTACGTTTACGTTACTTGGGTTTTAGGTGTCCAAACGTTAAAAAAAAGTACATGGTTATCATGACAATTATCAGCCTCATTCATGTTGTTGTTGTCTTGCACATATTCATCTGTCAATTTACCTTTTTTTCGCTTTTCTATATTTCTTGATACCTATGCTGTAAAACTGATCGTAACAACAAAATAATGTTCATTGCCATATTAATTTTTTTTACAAAATTTGAACATGTAGAAGCAAAGTTAGAGCGATACTGATACAAGTTATTTTTGAAATTCTTCCATAGTAATCTTCCATATAAATTACAAATCATATCCTCGACCTCTAAACCTTGATCAATCTTTACCTTTGGCACAGGTGAAAACCTAGCAAGCGACGAGTAATCACCACAGTAGCCTTAAAATAAATATATCAGAATAGTTTTTATTAAAGATTCATTCATCATTCTGCATCATACCGTTGTGCAGTACAGTCGGTTGTTTGATTCGCTCGCTCAGTGCCAGTGATATTAATAGCGTTTGTTCACGTTTTCGGTCGTTTCGGTGCATCGCGTGTGATGTCGAAGCGGAAGAAGAAGACAGGCTCGAACCAGGCTTCGAACCCTGCAACCTAGTCTAACGCTGCCCAAGGCGGCAAAAAGACGAAGAGAGACACATCCGACCGTGGAAGTGTCCATACCCCAATGAATAGTGGTCCCCAAGATAACGCCACAGCAATCAACGGTAGTGACGTCGGTGATTTCGGCGGGTCCGTTGAAAACATGGCCACGGGCGGCCAGAACGGTCCGAAAGTGAAACTTCCAGTACCACTCGACAAGCTGGCTCAAGAGATGGCATCCCTTGGCGTCGCTGCCGAGTACAAGCTGTGCGGGATTGGCACGAAAATCATCCTCCACACCAAAGCGGACTACAACAAAGCTTTGGCTTCACTGAAGAATTCCAAAGTGGAATTTTTCACACACGACATCCCGGCGACAAGCCATTTAAGGTAGTCATCCGAGGCCTTCCGGATTTCGAAACGAAGGTGATCTAAGCTGAAATTAAAGCCGTCTTTCGGATCAAGAGGAGGAACGAAAGCCAGAGGAAGTACCAGGATTGCCTTTTCCTAGTACACTTCAAGAAGGGGACGGTGACGCTTAATGCGTTGCAAGCAATCCGCTCGCTCTTCAACGTCATCATCCGTTGGGAGTCCTACCGTGGTGGCCGCCGCGATGTAACGCAGTGTCAGCGCTGCCTCAACTTCGGACACGGCACCCGAAATTGCAACATCATCCCACGCTGCAGCTTCTGCACCAAGGACCATGCCTCCTCCGACTGCCCAGATGACAGTCCTGAGGTTATCAAGTGTTTCAACTGTGGCGGTGCTCATCAGGGCTCTGACAGGCAGTGCCCCAAACGCGAGGAGTTCAAGCGTATCCGAAAGGATGCATCGACCTCCAACCAACCAGGACGTAAGAAAAATAAGTCCCCGACTTTCGGGCCAGGCGATTTTCCGCCTCTTCGAACCAACCAGCAACCGCGAGTGCAACCCGCTCCCCCTCAACCAACGCCCGGTGAACAAATTCCACTCCCCCCTGGAACCTGGAGAACACCGCCAACGCTAGAAGGTATGTACTCGATGGACGAGTGTTGGAACATGTTCGTCCATGTTACAAGCGCTTTCCGCAAGTGCACCAACAAGAACGAACAGTTCGAAACTATCGTGAAACTGGCTATGCATTATGGCGTCCAAACCACTATGCATAGTCACATGGAACGCTTGCTCCTTAAAAGCAAAAACCATCGAGCTTGCGGACTTCCTCCGCAAGCATACCATCGACGTGGGCCTCCTCACCGAGACCCACCTCAAGTCCGGCGACAGTTGCTGGTTACCGGACCACAACATCATTCGGCTTGATCGTACCAGCTCCAGGGGGTGGTGTTGCGATCATCGTCAGAAAAGGGATAAAATACCGCAGTCTGTCCCATATCCGCACCATCATCGAGGCCCTGCTGCCCTCGACAGTGTGCCGCCAGCAGCGGACTAGCGGCTAAATTCAAGAAAGACCTGGCCACCATCACCCGTACCGGTTCCCGCTTTGTTGTTGGAGGAGATCTGAATGCTCGCCATGAGGCCTGGCGGAACTAAAGGGTGATACGGTCAAAATTTGGTCAAGGGAAAACGCGTGTAAATCGGTGAAATCGTTTATTTAAAAAATCAAATTAAATTTCTTTTTCAAGTTCAATTAGTATAAAATTCAGGAAAAATATTCATTTAGGCTTCCGCTTTTCCAAATCCGAATTGCCGGGCCTTACGCTTGACCCTTGCCATCAGATTTTGTACAGCCACCTTGTCCACCTTCTTCGCCGCAGAAAGCCAGTTTGCCTTGAACTGCTGCTCGCCCTTAGCAGTTTTTTTTGGTCTTCTTTAGGTTCCGCTTGACAATAGCCCAGTATTTCTCAATTGGGCGGAGCTCTGGCGTGTTGGGAGGGTTCTTGTCCTTGGGAACCACCTGCACGTTGTTGGCGGCGTACCACTCCATGGCCTTTTTACCGTAATGGCAAGATGCCAAATCCGGCCAAAACAGTACGGAACAACCGTGTTTCTTCAGGAAAGGCAGCAGACGTTTATTCAAACACTCTTTCACGTAAATTTCTTGGTTGACAGTCCCGGAAGCTATGAAAATGCTGCTTTTCAAGCCACAGGTACAGATGGCTTGCCAAACCAGATATTTCTTTGCGAACTTTGACAGTTTCATGTGCTTGAAAACATCTGCTACCTTTCCCCTTCCTTTTGCCGTATAAAACTCCTGTCCCGGAAGCTGCTTGTAGTCGGCTTTGACGTAGGTTTCGTCGTCCATTACCACGCAGTCAAACTTCGTCAGCATCGTCGTGTACAGCCTCCGGGATCGCGCTTTGGCCGTCGTATTTTGTTTATCATCGCGATTTGGAGTCACTACCTTCTTGTAAGTCGATAGTCCGGCTCGTTTTTTGGCTCGATGCACGGTTGTAGACGATACACCCAGCTTATTTGCGGCATCTCGGAGAGAGAGGTTAGGGTTTCGCTTGAAACTACCGGCAACTCTCTTTGTCGTCTCAGCGGCTTCCGGTTTTCGATTTCCCCCCGATCCAGACTTCTGGGCTGTCGACAAACGTTCCCCAAACACTTTAATTACATTTGTAACGGTTGATTTGGCAACTTTTAGCGATTTTGCCAACTTTGCGTGCGAGTAGCTCGGATTTTCGCGATGCGCGAGCAAAATTTTGATACGCTGCTCTTCTTGCTTGGACGGCATTTTGACAACTGAAGAGTGAATTCCAAAATCAAAATAGGAGCAACATTCTACACACACACACCTTCAAATTAAATGCAAAATTGAAAGAAATACGTCAAGTTGATATTGACCAAATTTTGACCGTATCAC